TCCTGCTTTGGATGCTCCCCTTTTGATCAGACTTCTTTGCAGTTGGTTCAGATTTTAAAGAGTTGAGATATATTTGTACCTCTGATCTCTTCCCCTACTCAATTACTAAATTTTGTACCTGTATGCTTGGGGTGTTTGTGTTTTTTGTGTTTTTTTTTTTAAGATCTTGTATAGTTAATCTGCCACCTAGTGACTGAAATACTAGCTACCATCAATTTAGGCAAAATACGAATAACAAAAATTATGTAACTTCCCTTCCCAACCTCTTAACCCTGCTTTAAAACATACTATTTAGATGATTACCAATCTTTGTATTGAAGGTTTATCTCAAATAGACTGTGCTTTATTGATTTATGATACTTAGGCCCAATAAAGCTTTTATTTAATTGTTTTTAGTATATTTTCGAGATATGCTAAGGAGCCCTGATAGCATAGTGGTTAAGTGTTGGGCTGCTAACCGAAAGGTCTGTGGTTTGAACCTATTATTCTGAACTATTGAGTGGATGGCATGCTCTGCAGGTCCCTTCTAACTTGTGGGTGGGTCATCCAGTCTCTAGAATTGTGCAGTAGAACACCTGGAAGATTTGGTCAGCGTAGACTTGGGGCTTCATCCCCAGAGTTTGTGGTTCAATTGGTCTGAAATGTTGCATTTCTAACAAGTTCCAAAGTCATACTCCTGCTGCTATTGTGGGGACCATACTTTGAGAAGCTCCTTGCCTGAATTGCACTGTTCTAGGGGAGGACTCAGAGTTTGGTGCTGAAGGCTCAGCACTGGACTCCCAACCACAAGGTCAGCAGTTCCAACCCACCAGATGCTCCTTGGAAAACCTGAATAGCGTCGCTAGTGTCAATGGCACTTAACAACAATAAAGGGCAACTAAGGAGTCCTGGTGTGACGCTGTAGGATAAGCACTGGACTACAAAGTTGGTAGTTCAAACCTAACAGCTGTTCCTTGGAAACTCTATACAACAAGGGTGGGGAACTCTGGCCTTGTTAAGGCAACCGCAATTCCAGCCATCACATTGTTGTTGTTAAGTGCTGTCAAGTAGATTCTAACCCATAATGACCCTGTTTAGGGTTTCCTAGGAGCAACTGGTGAGTTTGAACTGCCAATCTTGTGGTTTGAACCAACATTGTAGACCAGCACATTAACCCCTGCGCCACACCAGCACTCCAGCCATCACATTAGGGGTGAGTTAAGTAAATGTTTGGGCAAAAACAGCAGGCTAATTTTTAAGTTGATAATTTTATATGGCCTGGGAATGACGTTATAAATTTTGGCAGAAAAAAGGTTTCTCCATTCCTGTTATATGCAGGGTTGCTAGGGCAGAATTTGTCATTGGTTTTCTCATAGGCCAGGAAATGATCCTTCCTAGTCCCTGGAGGGAATCCTTGTCTCCTGCTATCTGTCATCTTCTGCTTGAGTGAAGGAGAGTACTCATTCTCCTTGAGTACTCACTTTGTTGTTGTTAGGTGCTATTGAGTCGGCACCAACTCATAGCGACTCTATGCACAGCAGAACGAAACACTGCCCGATCCTGGGCCAACCTCACTATCTTGCCACACTTGAGTCCATCGATGCTGCCACTTTGCCACTAAGACTCAGTAAATGGGAGCTTTTTGCTAAAACAGTTGCAATTGAATTAGGGACAATAGGGAATGTGTTCCTATAAATGGAAGCATTAGGTTTATATTTGTGACACAAATATATACAAGTATAATTACTAAGGAGCCTGAAGAGAGTTTTTGTAGGTTAGAGTCACTGGTATTTATTTACCTTAGAAATTAAATCTGGGAAATTTTAAAGACATATCAATTATTTTGTTTAAAAATTAAATAATAAACTCATTACATGTTAGCATGTAGCTGTTATTGTTAAGTACTTTCAAGGTTTGAACTCATAGCAACCTTGTATAGGATTTACAAGGAGTGGCTAGTTGGTTTAAACCACTGATCTTGTGGTTAGCTACACTATTTATATTATAGACCAAAATAATTTAGTAATAAAACAGGCATTGTTTAAAATGTTTGCAAATGTTAATGTCTGATTTAGTAGCAAAAACTAGACTTTGCTCTACTTTCCATCTATGGCAGTATAACATGTTGTAGCCTCTGGGAAACTGCTATATATTCATGAGAGAACAAGAGTGGAAAAAAGCAAATTTATCTCTCTTAATATTCTTATTAAAAAAGGTTTTCCGTTTAGACCCTTATGGATTTTAAGAACTCACAGGGGTTCTCTATCACATTTTGAGAATTAGCATCCTAGAAATAAGGAATTCTGGTGTCCCACTAACCAAAAGGTCAGTGGTTCAAACTCATCAGTCACTCTGAGAGAGAATGATGAGAACATCTGTTTCTGTAAAGATTTACAGTCTCAGAAATGATGCAGTGATTCTACATTGTCCTTTAGGATTACTATGAGTCAGAATCTACTCAACGGTGGTGAGAACAGTCCTAGAAAATATTTTACTTCATCTGTGAAAATGAAGGCTCAAAAAAACAAAACAAAACAAAAAGATGCTAGAAAATCAGGATCTTTTAAAAAGTAGCATTAAAAAAATATTAATTTTTTTCAGCATGTCCTGTGTCCAATTTTTCCCATTGCCTTAATGCTTTTTGTTTTTTCAATAACAGTTGAAATCAGGAGTTAAACAAGACCCATTCATTATATTTGACTAATTGTCTTTTACATTTTAATAATTTATTCTTGTTTCCTCTTTTTTTCTTTGCAATTTTATTTAATGAGTTGGTCAGTGTCCTGTATAATGTATCTCATTTTGGATTTGACCAAGTGTATCTTTATAGTGTGAATTGACAAGTTTCTGTATTCTTTGTATTTCTTGTAAATATTTTGTTAAATCTGAGGCTTGATTAGATTTAGCCTTGATTTCATACGTGGTGCTTTCTTTTGTAATATTTTGTTGTTGTTAAATGCCATTGAGTCGATTCTGACCCATAGGGACACTGTATAGAGTTTCTGAGGAGCAACTGGTAAGCTTGAACAGCCGACCTTGCAGTTCAAATGAATTTGCAGTCTGGCTCATTAACCCACACACAGCACCACACCAGGACTCCATTACTTTGTTGTTGTTGTTGTTAAGTAACCTGGAGTAGGTTCCGACTCATAGTGATCCTGCACAGGGTTTCCAAGGCTGTAAATCTTTACGGGAACAGAACACCTTATCTTTCTTCTGCGGAACCGCTGGTAGTTTCGAACTGCTGACCTTGAGGTTGGCAGCCCGACTCGTAACCACTATGCTACCAGAGCACCTTAGGGAAAGTATGATGTCTTGTTTCTCTTTTATTGTTGTTAGCTGCCTTCCAGTAGGCAGGCCCCTGACTCATGGGGACTCATGCACAAATGGAATGTGAGAATTCTCCCACTGAGCCGCTGTCCTCTACCACACCCTCTTTTGTTGTTATGTGCCGTGGAGTCGTGGAGTCGGTTCTGACTCATAGCGACCCTGTGCAGTGTTTCTGAGGCTGTAAATCTTTACGGGAGCAGAAAGCCACATCTTTCTCCCGCGAAACAGCTGGTAGTTTCAAACTACTGTCCCTGAGGTTCGCAGCCTGATTTGTAACCACTACATTACCAGAGCTCCTTTAGTTTTAGCATCGCTTAAAAAAAAAAAAATCAAGTCATCCAATCCAGATGTTGTCAGCCTAATGCCTAATCAGTACATTCTAAAGTACCATATCAACTTTTCTCTAGTGATTAGTGACTTTAGTAATAATTAATATGAAGATGTAGATTACCCCAGTAACTAAAGTAAGCACACAGGATTCTAACAACAACAACATTCTGTTTTGTTAAAGGATTAGGGTCACAACTTCAAATGCCCAAGGGACAGGCAGTTAACATATGAATGAAATTAGCTTTCTCTGAGAGTCAGCAAGGAATGACTCACTTCTGGTAGTGTAGTGCTGACCTGAATGTCAGCAGTTCGAAACTAGCAGTGGTTCTGCAGGAGGAAGATGAGGCTTTCTGCTCCTGTAAAGATTTACGCCTTGGAAACCCTGTGCTGAATCGCTATGAGTACGTAACCACCATCACCACTATATCGTACCCAGTGGGGACATGTTTGACTTTGCACCAGCAAATTTTTACCATGTGGAATTGCAGGTAGAGTATTACTTGGTATTATAATTTTTAATAGATTTAAATCTAGGTATTTTATGTAAAATTATTTAGCTTTAAAATACTGACAACTAGCTGTAGACAACATTGCAGAGAATGAGTATTCTGTAACACTTAATTGTGTTCATGGAGAATCTCTACGTAGACCAAGAGGCAGTTATTTGAACAGAACAAGTGGACACTGAAAGGTGTACGTTAGGTCTGTATTCTTTCTCTATACTTATTCAATCTGTAGGCTGAGCAAATAATCCAAGAAGCTGGATTTTATGAAGAAGAATGTGTTATCAGTGTTAGAGGAAGACTCATTAACAACCTGAGAAATGCTGAAATTGAAGAGGACTTAAAATACTGATGAAGATCAAAGACCACAGTCTTAGATATGGATTGCACCTCAATGTAAAGAAAATGAAAATCCTTGCCACTGGACCAATAAAGAACATATATATAAATGGAGAAAAGATTGACGTTGTCAGTGACTTCATTTTGTCTGGATCCACCATCAACACTCATGAAAACAGCAGCCAAGAAATCAAATGACGTATTGCATTGGGCAAATCTTAAAAATGTTCAAGAGCAAAGATGTCAGTTTTAGGATTAAGGTGGCCAAAGAAATAATTTCTTCCATAGGCTGTCAGTTTGTGACCTCCTTTGAGGAATTGGTAGTTTATGCCATTACAATATCTTCTAGATCTTAGACAGCCTAAAAAATATTGTAGGAAAGAGAGAGTACAATGAAGTCTACTTAATCATCCTAGTTTTGCTGAGGTATTTGTTAATAAATCCACCTTCTCTTTTTTGGTCATTAACTTTGCTTCTTTTTATTTTTCTTCTCCCCTCCCACCCCCCAATTCAAAATAGGAACTGACAACATCTCAGAAAAGTGGTGGCAATGTTCTTCAGATGATGTATGAGAAACCTGAACGATGGTCTTTTACTTTCCAGTCATATGCCTGCCTCAGTCGCATACGAGCTCAACTTGCCTCTCTCAATGGCAAGATCAAAAACACAGAGAAACCTGTATTGTTTTTTGAACGATCGGTGTATAGTGACAGGTATTTGTAAATGGCTTGTACTTCCGTTTGGAGCCTTTTGACTAAGAACTAGACATTCCCCACCCGCCCGCGCCCGCCCCACTTTTCTTGTGTAAGAAGGCCATGGAGGATGGCGTGTGACCTCCTTTAACTATACAAATGGGAAGGAGAATCACCATCAACATCAGTCCCAGGCCAAGTCCTATGAGACCGAGGTCAGACATGCCTCCAACCTTCCTTACCAATTCTGATACCAGCCATCCCTCCTACAGCATTCTCTTCTCATCTTGGTTCATTGCAGTGGCCACACAGAACTCACAGACTAGACTTACAGTTAGGGGCTTTATTAGGGAAGTTAACAAGTTAAAAACCCAGGATCAGAAATGCTCAAGACACAGTTATTCTGTTAGGACAGCCTCTGCCTAGCTGTCCCTTCAGGCAGGCTTCTCTCTGGCCCTTGGCCTCTCAGCCACATAGTGCTGCCCTGCTTGGGTAATGTTATAAACCTTTTTGAAGGCTACCAATAAATACCCAAAGGACATACCATTCTGCCATAGCCTCAGCCTGAAGGAGCTCCAGTGGCTCAGTAAACCTAATGCCCCCAGTTAAGTACTTGTGGGCACCGGACTTTGTTAGTGAGCCTCCTCCCTGAAGGCATTCAGCTTCATTTTCTCTGTGACTGGGAATCCCACCACGCTGTCTTGCACTCAGGATCTTGGTTTTGCTGCTGCTGTTCCTTTGCCACTCTGGTGTCACAGCTCTCTGTCTCTGGGATCAAGTAGGCTCGATGTATAGGGGTCCAAAAGATGTGCTCTACTCCTGGCTTTTCTTTCTTAATTATAATGAGATCCCCCCTCCTGCTTCTGAGATGGCTCAGTTTATACCCAGCAATATGGTAAAATTGGCCTATATTAGAGTTCCAAGTTTTACAATCATCAATTGACCCTGTCACTCATACCTGAATCCTATAATCCTATCACTATCTTTCCCCACCTTCTCTTACCTAGATCTACCAGGAAAACAGGAAATACATCTAATCTGCATGATCCCACCCAGTTGTTTGATGGGCATCACACACTAGAAGAGCCATATCAATTCAATCACTGCACCACACCTGGGAATTAAATTACTATGAGAGCTGGAAACTTGAAATGGAAAATATTAATATTGACAGTTTTAGTCTGTATAATACCTAGATTTTTTCTGGTATGGTGCTGTATAAGTACTGGACTGGTAACCAGATGGTCAGCAGTTCAAGCCCACTGGCTGTTCTCAGAAACCCTGTACTCCAGGGTCATTTATGAGAGGGAATACTGTAGTATTGCATTCAAATTTAAAGTAAGTTCCCTTCCCTTCAGTACCCCACCCCCTCCATCCTTTAAAAATTTCATCTTCTCTGGAGATGGAGAGTCTGGATCTGTAGTCTAGATCTGTAGACTTATCTGGTGCAAGATCAGAAATCTGTGGACCTTGAATTGACTTGCTTATGTAAGGATTTTGTTGACCTTCATTGTAGTGGTTTTCAAACGTTTTAGTCTTGGGACCTGTTCACACAGGCTTAATAATTATTGAAGAGCCCAAAAAGCTTGGAATATAATTGACATTTATATTATTAGAAATTAAGATTGATAAAATTTTAAAAATAGTAATTTAAAGTTAGCAATATTAAACCCATTACATACTAACATAAATAATATACTTATGATTTAAAAGCAAACTTTTCCAAAACAGCACAAAAAAATTAGAAGAGTGATATTGTTTTACATCTTTGTAATTTTTAAAAACATCTGACTTAATAGTAAAAGCTGTATTCTTGTGCATGCTTCTATATTCAGTTTGCTGTGATATATTATTTTGGTTGAAATTCAGTATATGAAGAAAATCTGGCCTATCCCATAGCCTCTGAAAAGGTCTCAGGGACTATAGGAGCCCTCAAACCACATTTTGAGAACTTACTGGCCAGGAATATATTTGGAAAAATTAATTTTTTTTCTGTTGCCACAGGTTTAAGGGAGTGTTCCATCCAGTTTTGCTTTCTGAATATAGTTTCTTGTTTGTCATTCACTATACTTTCTTAAAAATAATTTAAGTATTGATGTGGACTCTGTTTCAGGTATATTTTTGCATCTAATTTGTATGAATCTGACTGTATGAATGAAACTGAGTGGACCATTTACCAAGACTGGCATGACTGGATGAATAACCAGTTTGGACAAAGCCTTCAACTGGATGGAATCATTTATCTTCGAGCCACTCCAGAGGTGAGACCCAATAAAGATTTATTTGTTCCATTACAACTGTAAAGTAATATTTATAAATCTTTTTCAGTGGTATGCCATAAAGACAATTAAATTTAACCCCACTTCCTACGAATTGGGCTGCTAATCTCACAGTCAGGAGTTCGAAACTACCAGCTATTCCGCGGGAGAAAGATGAGGCTTTCTGCTCCCGTAAAGATTTACAGCCTCGGAAACCCTGTACAGGGTCACTATGAGTCAGAACCGACTCCACGGCACATAACAACTATGTAGATAGAAGCATTTGAATGAATTTCTTAGTAAACGGTAAGCTCAGATTTAGCAAGTCACTCTTAGGGCCTTGTTCCTTAGTTCTATTTTGTTTTTCTTCATTATTTGTACCTAACTTACTGACTATCTCATCTATCACAGCTATAGTAAGGGAATTGCTTAAGCAAGTCCTAGAATAGAAATTCAAGAAGTGGTACTTTTGGTATTTTAATTATTGTTGAATTTTTAGTTCTTAGAATAGGACATGGGCATACAATGAGAGCTCAGTAAATAGGTCCTGAATGAAGGGTAAAGTTGATGGAGGTCTATTTCAAAAAAACTTTTATGGTTGTGCTTGGTTTGCCATGGGTGGGTGTAGTGGCAGCTATAGCTAAAAAGGGAGGGACATAGAGGACCTTAACCATTTTCAGTTAACTGAGGTCATTGGAAACTGTGCCTTTCATGACAGATTGTAAAGTAGCTGTTTTTATTTACGTTTGAAATTATATAATGAATCCAGGAAGATCAAGTGAATGCCTTTCATAAATCGATGTAAAAACAACATATATTTCCTAAGAAAAATTCCAGTTTTAGTTTCTGAATACCCATTGTTTTTCTGGTTTTATTCTTATTTCTACCCTAAGTTAAAAAAAAAAAAGGCTCTGATGAATAGACTTGTATGACTTGTAGCCTAAAAGTAGTTCCAGTATTTTTGTAGCTATAGAAGCTGAATTTTAAAAGAAACTAGCTCTCTAATCCACCGCTTGTCTTATCAGTTTGTCGAACTGTGGTGGCTTGTGTGTTACTGTGATGCTGGCAGCTATGGTAGTTCAAATAACCAGTAGGGTCACCCATGGTGGACAGATATCAGTGGAGCTTCCAGACTAAGACAAACTAGGAAGAAGGAAAAGTCAGTTCACGTCTGAAAATTTAGTGACTGACAACCTTATGGGGAAGGGGTGGACAGTGGTGGTGGTGTACTTTGGATTTGGTTTCTACTCACAGTGACTCTGTACAGGGTTTCCGAGGCTGTAAATCTTTACGGAGAAGAAAGCCTCATCTTTCTCCCCTGGAGCATCTGGCAGATTTGAGCTGCTGACCTTGTGATTAGCAGCCCAGTATGTAATCCACTATGTTACCACAAGGGTTCCTTACCTTATGAATGCAGTGATGGCTGTGTGCTGTGGAGTCGGTTCCGACTCATAGCGAACCCTGTTCGGGGTTTCTGAGGCTGTAAATCTTTACGGGAGCAGAACACCTCATCTTTCTCCCATGGAACAACTGGTAGTTTCGAACTGCTGACTTTGCGGTTCGCAGCCCAATTTGTAACCACTACACTACCAGAGCTCCTTAGCAGCGGCAAATATCATATAGTGCCAGAAGATGAACCCCTCAAGCTTGAAGGCACCGAAAATACAAGTTTAAGAGCTTGTATTTTCAGTGCCTTTCAACCTGAGGGGTTCATCAGTGCTACTTCTCAAAGTAAGTCAACCTTGGATGGAGCATGAATGGAGAAAAGTTTTCAGAACCTTCATTAGCTTATTTTTTATCACAAAAATGAAAAACAACTACAAACAACCATTAATAACTAGAACATAGAATGTACGAAGTATGAACCTAGAGGAATGGTGTTACATTCAGTTTAAATTTATCCTGAAGTACAACACTGTCAGTGATAGGATAATATCCATATGCCTACAAGGAAGACCAGTTAATACCACTGGTATTCAAATTCACATACCAACCACAAGAGCCAGTGATAAGGAGATTAAAGAATTCTACCAACTTCTTCAATATGAAATTAACCAACCATGCAATCAAGATGCATTGATAATACTGGTGACTGGAATGTGAAAATTGGAAACAGAGTAAGAATCAGTACTTGGAAAATAGGGCCTCAGTGACAGAAACAATGCTGGAAGTCACATGGTAGAATTTTTCAAGACCAGTGGCTTATTCATTGTACTTAGCTTTTTCAATAATGTAAAAAGCGACTGTATTCCTGGACCTCACCAAATGAAATATACAGGAATCAAATTAACTGCATCTGTGATAAGAGATGGTGGAGCAGCTCAATATCATCAGCCAAAGCAAGGCCAGGTGCTAACTGTAGAACGACTATCTACTGCTCATATGCAAGTTCAAGTTGAAGCTGAAGAAAGGAAAACAAGTTCATAAAAACTAAAGTACTACCATAAATGTATTTTACATACTAGCTCAAGAATAGGTTTGAAGCATTGAACACTAATGACAAACCCAGATGAGTTGTGGGATGACATCAAGGACATCATACATGAAGAAAACAAAAGACGATTAGAAACACAGGAAAAAAAGAAGGCCAAAATGGGTGTCAGAAGAGATTCTGATTCTTACTCTTGCATGTAGAATATCTTAAGCAACTGGCAGAAATGATGATGAACTAAAAGAGCTGATTTTTAAGGTTGGCTTGAGAAGACAACGTCAAGTATTATAATGAAATATGAAAGACCTGGAGCTAGAAAACCAAAAAAGAAGAACACGCTCAGCATTGCTTAAGCTGAAAGAATTGAAGAAAAAATTCAAGTGTCAAATTGCAATGTTTGAACTCTGTTGGAAAAATATTGAATGACACAGGAAGCATCAAAAGAAGGAAGAAAAACAGAGTAAGTAACTATACCAAAAGAATTGGTTGACATTCACCCAAATCAGTAGGTAGCTTATGATCAAGAACGAGTGGTATTGAAGAGAAGATGTCCAAGCTACACTGAAGGAATTGGTAAAAAACAAAGCTCCAGAAATTGACAGAATTCCAATTGAAATGTTTGAACAAACTGTTGCATTTTTGGAAGCATGTCTATGCCAAGAAATTTGTAAAACAGCTACCAGGCTAACTGGAAGAGCTCTATATTCATGCCTGTTCCAGGATGGGAAAATTCTTGAACAGCATCATTAATATGAAGGTACTTCAATAATTCATGGAAAAATGAAATTTAAAAAATGGAATTTCTCCACAAACTCTTATCACACATAAATGAAACTTTACCAAAGATAATTTTTAAATGGTTGCAGTAATTCATTGACAGCTGTCAGACGTTCAAGCTGGATTCAGAAGATGACGTGGAACTTGAGATAGCATTGCTGACATCAGATAGGCTAAAAACAGAGAATACCAGAAAAATGTCTACCTGTGTTTTATTGACTATGCAAAAGCATTCAACTGTGGATCATAACAAACTATGGATAATTTTGCAAATGAAAATTTCCTAGCAGTTAATTGTTCTTATGTGGAATCTGTACTTTGTTCAATCAGAGCAAGAGGATATTGCTGTGAAGTGATGTGAAGTCAGTTTCGACTCCTAGTAACCATGTAGGTGAAAAGGCTTCCAACCCTTTAAATTCTTTTATGGGAGCCAAAAGACTCATCTTTCTCTGGAGGAGTTGCCAACCTTGTGGTTCGCACTCTAGTGCTTATTATATATGGTTTAAAATCATGAAAGGGGCGCATCTGGTTTGTATCCTATCATCATACTTATTCAATCTGTATGCTGAGCACATAATTTGAGAAGCTGGACTCTATGAAGACGAATGCAGCATCAGGATTGGAGAAAGACTCATTAACAACCTATGATAATCAAAAGACACAACCTTGCTTGCTGAAAGTGAAGAGGACTTGAAGCACTTAGTGATGAAAGTCAAAGACTACTATGAATTATATCTCTATATAAAACCAATCCTCACAATTGTACCAATAAGCAGTATCATAATAAATGGAGAAAAGTTTGAAGTTGTCAAGGATTTAATTTTACTTGGTTTCACAGTCAACACCCATGGAAGCAGCAGTCAGGAAATCAAATGATATATTTTACATTTGGCAAATCTGTTGCAAAAGTTCTCTTGAGCGTGTAAAAATGAAGATGTCACATTGAAAGCTAAAGTGCGCTGTGACTCTAGCCTTGATATTATAAGTTGCTTTATATGTATGCAAAAACTGGACAACGAATAAGGAAGATCAAAGAAGAATTGGTGGGCTTTGAATTGTGGTGTTGGCAAAGAATATTATATATATATATCTTGATCTACTGGAAGAACAAACAAATCTGTTTTGGAAGAAGTATAGCTGGAATGATGCTTGGAGGCGAATATGGTGAGACTTTGTCTCATGTACTTTGGATGTGTCATTAAGAGGGACTAGTCCCTGGAGAACAACATCATGCTTGGTAGTGTAAAAGTTGAATGAAAAAGAGATAGACCCTCAATGGGATAGATTGACACAATGAGTGCAACAGTGGGCTTGCTCAAACATAGTAATGATTCTGAGAATGGCATAAGACTGGGCAGTGTGTTGTTTCGTTGTGAAACAGAAGCGACTCAACGGTATTGAAGTAGAACAGCTTTTAAATTCCATTGGGTGATTTGTTTATCTTCTAATATCAATTAAGCCCGAATCAACTATAATAATTTTTTAAAAAGTGATTATTTTTTAAAAGAACTTAAATTTTTTTAAAATAGTAAGGGCAGGTATAGAAAAAAGAAGATAAAACGAATTAATTCCATTCTACCAGAAACATTTAGTCAATATCTTAAAACTCAGCAAAATATTTTACTCTTTTTCTCATCAATAATTCTTAAAGCTTTTCATTAGGTGCTTTTTAATTATCAAAAAAATGATTTTTAAATTGTCTTTGAAATACTGTTTATATGCTACCATAGTGAATTATTTTGGTTGGCGGTTCTTACTTCTTGAGATGCATGAATGAGCTTCCTACGATCTAGAAATCCTTACTAATAATGCAAAAATTTGCTTATAAACATATTTTCAGGCAAAAGGCATCTACAATTTCACTTTTCAATGTGGCTATTTAAATTTAAATTATTTAAAATTTCAATTCCTTAGTCACCAGCCTAGCAATATTTTAAGTATTCAGAAGACACATGTGGCCAGCTGCTAGCTCATTGGATAGTGCAGATATAGTAGAACATTTCTATCATTGAAGAAAGTTCTATTGGTCTGTGCTAGCCCAGAACTTTCATCATACTAAGAACCACTGCCTTTAATGGTTTTATATTATCTAAACATAGATATTTGATTATCAAGTTTAGTTAACCACAAAATACGATTACTCTGACAAATTGACAAGCCTTTTAGTTGCCCTCTCAAAAAGTTGTGCCATAAGTGTTTTAGGATTTTCTTTCCATTTTACCCAATGTGTATTATGATGTCTGTTTCTTTTGTAAATGCTCAATATTTATAGTTTTTGTTTTGACTTATTTTGTAATGTATTGCTTAATTTCATTGTCAGGTGCCGTTGAGTTAGTTCTGGCTCTTAACTACCATCTGTACAATTGAAGGGAACATTACTTGGTCCTTGTAATAATCCATGTAATCATTGTTCTATTTGAAGTCCTGTGTCAGTACATCTCATTGAAGGTCTTCCTCTTGTTTTGCTGAGTTTTCACTTTATTAAGTATGCTATCCTTTTCCAGAGACTGGTTCCTTATGATAACATGCCCAAAGTACTGATGACAAAGTCTCACTTCTAAGGGGCATTCTTGGCTGTATTTTTTCCAGTTGTTTAGTTTAGAGGCATTAAGTGGCTATAAAAAGCACACAAAGGGAAAAAGGAACTACTTTCACCTTTTAAAAGAATTATAAAGAGATTTTTGCTAGCATAACTAAAGAGACACTGAAACCAAAAACCAATTGCTATTGAATTGATTCCAACTAATGGTGACCTTGTGTGTGTCAGAGTAGAATTGTGCTCCATTGGGTTTTCAGTGATTGATGTTTCAGAAGCAGATTGCCAGACCTTTCTTCTGAGGCACCTTGGGGCACATTTGAGCCTCTAACTTTTGGTACCACTCAGAGGCTCCAAAGAAATAGGGAAGAAATTTTAAATTTTATTGGCAGCAGACAAGAATAATTCTTCCCTGCTTTTTCCCCCCTTCTCTCTAATTGCTTTATTGCCTTTAGACATGCTTGAATAGAATATATTTACGGGGAAGACATGAAGAACAAGGCATTCCTCTTGAGTATTTAGAGAAACTTCACTATAAGCATGAAAACTGGTTACTGCATAGAACACTGAAGTAAGACTTCACTTATTTTTTATTTATTATTAGTTTTTCATTTCTTTATTCAATTTTAATTTAAAATTTGAAAGATAAATAGAAACCTGTGAAAATGTTCATTTTCAAAGTTATTTTATTTATTGGTATTGTCATATCTCCCAGAATTAGGTGCAGATTTTTATTCTTTTGATTTTGAAGTGGTTGTGTTTCCTTAGCATCCCTCAGAAATATTGTCAGCAGAAAGTAGAAAAATATACCTGTGTGCATTATTTAGGTAATTTCTTTCAGATTTATTTTAAGATCATGTATTTTAAATTTGTTTCTTATACAAGTCTTGGTAGGTAGAGTAGTATTGCTCCTAATAGCGTGTACTTTACCATTAATCAGGTCTTGGTTCAACTCCAGTCTTGCTTTTTAGTAGCAGTTTGGACAGCCTCAGAGTAATCTCTTTGAGCCTTAGTTTTCTCTTCTGTAAAATACAAAATATTACCAGTTTGTGGTAGGCTTTTAAGAAGAACCACATACTGCAGGTACCAGCTTTATGTCTTTTTTACCTGAGATAATTTTTAACTACATTCTTACAGGATAACTAATATCGTGTCATTGGCAACATTTTGATTTCCAATGATGAATTAAGAATGAGCTTTTAGTGCATCTTATTTATTGCTTTTCTGATTATTGTGCTCTTCTTTTTCTTTTTAAACAGAACCAACTTTGATTATTTACAAGAGGTACCTATCTTAATACTGGATGTTAATGAAGACTTTAAAGACAAGCATGAGAGTCTGGTTGAAAAGGTAGATTTAGCAAAGACTAAATTTATGTTTGTTTTGTCTTGTCTAAAAAATTGTGCTAATTTGTGAAAAATAATTTTCTAATGGAAACGATTACATAAAGTGACATATGAGACAGTTAAGAGCGTTAGAGGGCATTAGAGTGTTTATATTCCAATCTTGACTGTAAATTCTAGCATTGTGGACCTAGCTTAATTATGGAAATACTCTATCCTTGAGTTTCTCTGTCTGTAAAATCAGAATAATCGCAATAACAAATGTTGTTTACCCTGTTCTCCTCTATTTTACCTGTATTTCTTTCCCTCTCCCTCACATCACTAGTCTTTAGATATTTTATTGATAATTGTGCTGTGGATAAGCACTGGACTGTGAACCACAAGTTGGCAGTTCAAACCCACCAACTGCTCCTTGGAAAGCCTTTACAGGATTGCTTGATCACAGTTCTGACTCATAGCAACTGCATAGGGTTTACAAGGAGCAGCTGGTGGGTTTAAATTGCCAATCTGGTGGTTCAAACTGACCTTGAGGTTCAGTGCTAATTGTACAGTGCCACACGAGGACTCCACGTTCAATATGTTGTTGTTAAGTGCTATCGAGTCAGTTCTGACTCAGTGACCCTGTATAGGGTTTCCAAGGAGCAGCTGGTGGGTTTGAATTACCGATTTTGTGGTTCATAGTCCAGTGCTTATCCTACAGCTCCCCACCAGGAGTTCAAATTCAATACAGAGGACACCAAAGTTGTAGGACATATGTCATTCACTTTTACATTATCTCAGGTCTTGACATTAAGGGACTTTTAGTTTTGAGTATCACTTAGGGCCATTGCCTTAACTAGTCATTGTTTTAATCAACATTATTTTGTCTTCCAGATAACTGGGAGTTGTCCATATTCTGTTAAGTGAGTGGTATCCATATTGACATGGAGAGAAATGAGTCATGGAGATTATATAACAAATATCCCTATACCCATACTAATTAATAAGGTTATCAGAAAAAGTCACAATTCTTAGTTTTAGGTTATGAGAGAAATTTGATATTTCACTTCTGCTGTCATAAAACGTGTTGTTTACTATAATAAACATTTGGCATTAATAAGGGATCTATTTCAAGAATTTTGAAAATATCAGCATGTATAGATAATTACTATAGTATATACAGGGCCTGGTGTGATACTGTAACATAAGCACTGGATTGCTAACCGCAAGGTCGATGGTTCTGATCCACCAGCTGCTCCTCATAACTGACTCGACTGCACTTAACAACCACATACAGGGTAGTGATGGGCCAGTGCGAGAATTCAGGAGATGCAGATTTGATTCCTAGCCAGTGCACCTCAAGCATAGCCACCACTGCATCTCTCATCAGTGGAGGCTTGCGTGTTGCTGTGATGCTAAGCAGATTTCCGTGGAACTTTCAGATTAAGACAGACTCAGAAGAAAGATCTATTAATCTACATTTGAAAATGAGCCAGTGAAAACCTTGTGAATCATAACTCTCAATCTCATTCATGGGGTCACTGATGATAGCTAGCAGCTCTAGTATATAGTTGTTCCTCTCATGATACAAAGTAGTCTAGCTGAAAATTTTAATAATGCTAGGCTTTCTCTTTTAGGATATTTCCTTCAAAGCAGTATTTTTGTGCTGTTGGTCAGATGAGTTGGTTTATTAACTGCTTATATGTCTTCTTCACTGGCCTTGCAGAGTACATGATTCAGATTTATGCTTTGGAAAAGTTACAGATCTATTACATGTCCGGATCTCTAGAGTTGCTTAAACCATTAAAGCTATTGATGTTATTAGTGATAAACCTCAGTGGTTATGGTATTTAAATAAAGAGATTATAAAATTAGCATTGCTAATGTTACAGAGCTGTTTCAGTCTTAGATATAAATTTAATAGCTCTGGTGTGGCACCTAAGACTAAGCACTGGACTGGGAACTACAAGGTTGGAGGTTCAAACCCAATAGCCACTCCTCAGAAACCCTGTACAGAGTTGCTATGAGTCATCCGATTAGACGGCACTTAACAGCATAAAGATATGTAAACATTTAATAT